CGGTTGGTGCGGTGACTGGGCAACCGGCTGCCGTGCAACGTGTCGCGGGTTCGATTCCCGCACGGAACAACACTTTGTATGATCCACAAATTGTTGTTTCGGGTCTGGGTGTCATGTGTATATGAACTTGTATGTTTGTAAACGCACCCATGACACAGGAGAAAATCCTAATGTGGGGCAACGTTTTAAAAAAAGGAAAGGAAAAGGAAAGGATTTATCAAGTGATTAATATTTTGCACCTCTGTTTATATCTTTGGGAAACAAAAGACGCGAGCTATGTACAATGCCAACCTTCACAGAGCGTTGCTATTTAAAGAGAAGAATTTCGGTGATTACGTAAAGCCCTGAATACTTTAAACAATAAAAGGTATTCGTAATATTTTGAGGTCTAACTATAATGATGTCTTTATTAATTACGCAATTACAAACTAGCTATTATGTGCTGGATTTTCTTGCATAGAGGATTTTTTTTAAAGGGGGCAAAATCATCAACGGACTGCTCCCGCCTGGGTGAGGCGGGAGGGAGTGTCAGACTCTTACTGACTAAAAACCACCACGTTTCTTCTCCTGCACGCCGAGCCGGAGCCCCGGTTACCCGTTAGGTTCTCCGCGACTTGCAGTTAGCCGATTTCGAGTCGATAATCGGCTTAGTGAAGCGGTGTATCTAAACCTAATGCTGCAAGTATTTACATCGAAATTCTATTAATATAAAATAGAAGTAATTCCCTAAAGATATTATTGTTATAAATCTATTTTATATCATTGAAATTATCATGAAGCTTGTTATTACTCGATGAAGAGCAGTTACCTACCGTAACCAATGGATCTAATCTCTAATCCAATCCATCTTCAATTTCACAACTGTCACTTGTTCATTAGGTATCGCTTTATAAAAACGATTTTGTAGAAGTTATTTATTACACAGTTCGTAGTTTCTTTGGCTCTTTTGACGAATACAAAACATGATTTTATGCATCACATCCCTCAATACATAACATAAAGAAGGGGTAGGCAGAGGTGCACATTACGGCACTTAATGCCACTGTATAGTGTAACACCCAATTTTTACTATTTAATTATGTTACGAGTCTCATGTAATAGGGGGTGAGCCTATTGCCATATATCGGGCACAGTTCCAGACTCCGTGCTACTACTGAGATTTTTTTAAATGCCATTAATACTTTGCCTGACTCGGGAATCGAACCCGAGACCTCTTGCCTGGCTGTCGGACTTGCGACCACACGGCCAACGAGGCAGTCCTTCAATACATTTTTATCAAAAACCACAAAATGACAGACAAAGATATATTTCGCTGGCATTCAAAATGATATCTTAATAGAACATAATTATGGATGATATTTGAAGGTGACGTTGAACAGTGCATTCCTGACATATCAACCTTAGCTCTAATAGAATAGGTATTCGTATTGCTGGTACCTCATTGTAAAGGTGATACGTTTTATATTAACGACTTTTTTACTATAATTTAACTTTATGACCATTTTAATCTTCGTAGACGTACAACATATAAACTTTTAACTGTGGGAGAGTTTTGCTTCGGCACGAATGGGCCGGCTCGACCGGAGTGATATCACGGCCTCACAGAAAACCGACGTGAAACAACGTGCGTTGTGTTTCGTCGTGCGAGTGAGGTTACCGTAGGCCCGATTAACCCCCCTCCCTAGTCTCCCGAATCCCCGAATCCTCCACAATCAATTCCCAAAAGTCCTGTAACGCACTTGTAACGCCTTGATGTTCCAGGTGTCCATGAGCGACGCCGATGGCTTACCATCAGATGATCCGAATTTAAATTAACGATACCCTTCCATTATTTTATACGGACCTCTATTATTACACAATGTTGCGCACGAACTATAATTAAGTTTACTTGTTATCCGGTTTGCGCATCTTTGATAGTATTGTTGTGATTGCTTTAAGGAAACCGGTCTGTTTATTACAACCATTTCATGTATCATAGTATGACTAGAAACGTTTCATGATACTATCCTACTAGTTTTATATTACAAGATTTTTTCAATTCATTATTTGTTTTGTATCGATGTCGACGTTTGCTTTTGTATAGCGTACTTTTTTAACCGACTTCAAGAAAAGGAGGAGGTTTTTAATTCGACCGTATATATGCTTTTTTATAATTCATAACTGCAGATAGAAACAAAACTTGTCAAAAGGAATAATTATTAAATTAACATTTTGCAACTATTGTAGCCAGACTAACTCATGGTCCCAAAGCGTGTGTGCTGAACTTAAGGTATTAGGTTTTCTTGTAACATAAAATATGCGTTGAGGATATAGTCTTTCAAATAGCTCCACAGAACCTTCTTCTGTCGTAGCAACAACATCCAACTCAAGGGATGTAATAATTGAAGACGGGTACCCCAAAGGTTCGCCTGAAGTTAATGCAGGCGCGATTTTAGTGGGTTTCAAGGCAGGTGCCTCCTCGACGCCTTCTACAAGCAGAATTGGCCCTCTCGCGACCCCGCTCAGCAGCCTTCTTTTGTGACGTTACTGTCTCACAAAATGGATGGGGGGAGGCCTATATTGAGCAGTCTTGTGGCTGATATGATGATAATGATAAGGAAACACAATCGTAGCCAAAAAGTAAGCTAAGAGTACTTTATATAATCTAATTAGTATAAATATCTACCTTGAATTGGAATTAAAATTTCATAATTAGCAACAAAGACGTTATAAAAAGGCAGACATAATGTCACTTAAAATTATTGAAGCACCAAATTGTCAGTGGGTTAATCACCAGCTCAATGTCCAACTGGGCAGATTGCAGAGAAATAAGGAGATTGAAAAAAGTCTTAGTTTGCAAGTTTTTTTGCTAAAAATCTAAGATCTTGTGAGTGTGAAGCAAAGGTTGGTCAAGCTCTTGTGAAAAGTTATCTAACTAATATAAATGCGAAATTTTGTGTCTATGTTCATAACACAATCACATTAAAACGTCTGAAGAGATCTGGATTAAATTTGGAGCAGGGAATGGCACACAGAATATTTTATATCCCATGGCTTTCCATGTTTTTCCAGAAGCATTGCTATTACTGCCTAGGCCCACCACCTGCCTATTGCCATCAGACGATCCGTCAGCTCGTTTGTCCCACTATCCCATAAAACAAGTGGTAACAACATTGTTTTAAAAATAAAAACTGCCACAAGACCTGTCATGCCATAAGATATATTGATTGAGTGATAAAAAAACAGGTGGAGTTCATTCCCGTGTTGGCAACTAGTCAAACCTGATCAGTTAGAAATTAGAACTATAAATAAAATAATAAACTAGAGTACTTTGTCCTTTTGAAAAACAAGTCGTTCATCCTGTGATGTTGTTAATCCAGTTTTGTAAATGATTACCTACTAGTTTTTGCCCGCGGTTTCGCTCCAGCTTTTTTAAGGGGTTAAGGGCAAATTTGCAATGAAAACATGCACGATTCTTTTGTTAATGATAAATTATTAGTCCGCATACCAATTTTAACTTTCAAACTTTAATCGTTTTTAACCCTTCGAGTACCGTCATTATAGACACAATTAAAGAACAGTTGCGGTCACCGGTGCCCTCGCGCGGTTTGCCAGTTTAAGGTGTGTAGTTACGAAAAGACAAAACGTAGCATATCCAGCACGCCATGCCAGCAACTATCTCCACTTAAAAAAAAAAGACAATTTGTCGTTTCGTTTAGCTGTAAAAGACGGACAAACAAACACACACAAACATTTATAATATTAACAAGCAATTATAATATTCGAATGGAAGTAGGTACCTATCAATAGTTATCAATGTCTAGTACAAAAAATATTATTTATGTGTGTATCCAATATTAATTACTTTGTTAATCGAGTAGGCCTCTCCGTCACGTGATCTATTTCCACCACGAAGTAGGTTTTTTGAATATTGTCTGCAATAACACAGAGCCTTGAATTTAAGGCCACTGTATGGCCATTAAGCTCACCCCTTCCCTATTACATACACATACATGGGACTCATAACATAACAACCGAGAAGGCAGTGTTATGTATAATATAAATTTCTTTTTTTTGCATATATCGGATCTGTGTAGTATAAAGGGACCCAAAATGGCGGGTGCAGAACAACAATTCATGTGTATTTTAATTATGTAATTCCGCTGTCGTAATTTTCAAAACCTGATCGAGCCGTGATGTTTGCAAGTAAGCCTAAATTTCTGCTTCTCTGTAAGTAACAAAGAGACTCAGTGCACGATTTTGTATTCAGATTCATAAAATAAATTAGACTTTACCATATTCGTAGAATTAGTAATTACAAAAAGCAACACCCTTCCTACATTCGGGTAAAGACTCAAGGACAGGTGAAAGGCAACGGTTATTTAGATTTATTTTATAATCATTTCTACCTTCAAGGTTATGCATATTCCTATGAACAGAGGTCGTTGTTACAAACTGCCTCAAGTTCTCCCTATTTCAGACTCGTTGACGTAATATGCCTAGTAACGATTTTACGTGCGATGTTGTAGCATGAATAGAATAACTCGATCAGACTGATACCATGGCCACGTAGCCTCACATAAAACTGACGCGAAACAACACCCAACCCGCCCCCAAAAACGCAAGCTATGTTCTCGTTCATTGTTACAGGCGTCCATGAATGGTGCTGACCATCCGCCGTCGCCACCGTGACCCGTCTGCTCGTTTAAAAAAAACAAAAACCATGGGAAAAATGGTAATTCCTTTTTTTGCAGGTGGAAAAGTCATTCAATGCCTTCTCCCACTATGGGTGGGGAGGGTGTCAGACTCTTACTGACTAAAAACAACCCCGTTTCTACTCCGGCTTCAAATCGAAGCCCTGGTAATCTGAAAGTTCGGAAATCATTCAAAAGTATAAAGTTAAATACCGAATCGTGTCGTAATCGTGTCGTAGTTGCTAAAAACTTGTTTATTATTATCCTTTTAAGTTCAAAGCGTCTCTGCGATGTCGTAAGCGTCAGTCGGTTCCCGTCGGCAGCAAGATGAAGTTCATTGTAAACACCGTCGCCTTCTTCGCACTTTTTCATGTAAGTTTACTTTATTTTTTAGTGTATTTAAAAATATAAATTCTGATATTTTTGTACGGTTGTATGCACATAACTGTTGACTGTACAGTAGTGTTTTCTACAACTGCACTAGATAAAGCGACTTTTGTTGTAATTGTTATTATACAGAAAGGTTTATAATTATGACAATTTTCCGTGAAGGGAGGAAGCGTGTGCAAGCAGGCTGCAAGTAAACATTTTTATGTAAAGTTTTGATAAAGCCGTTTTAAAGTATCGTGGGTAAGTAACAGGCTAAGGATGATGAGTCGATGAAAGAAATTAAAGAAAAGAATCTAATGAAACTTAATATTGAACGTAGTTTAAGATTTGTAGTAGTACGTACTATAACGGGCTGGAGCTGAAAATCAGCGCCGTGGGCTCGAGCCTCTGTGCCCGGTCCACGGTATTAAGCTGAGCTCCAGCCGTTTGCGCTGCGACGCACCATAGGGTTTTTTGTGTTTCTAAATTCTTGTTGTGTGTCGTAGCAAAATAAATGTTTTTTCTTTCTTTCTTTCTTTCATTTGTAATTTTGAAAAGGTGCAATGATAGCGTCGTCTTCTCTCACTTAAATATTATCTCTCAAATAAGTTTTATATCAATTCGAGATTTTATATTTTTGCTATATAGATCGTAGGTATTTTTGTCGACTAGTTGTATTGTTATTAAATAATTCTTTGTTATACTAAGTTTAAAAATCCAACTTTGACCACCTATTTTTTGAAGTCGGTTAATTAATGTAATAAAACTTCTCCTAAGTGTAATAAACACTTTTTCTGGAAACCGCATTAAAATCAGTTCAACTAATCGAGAGATAATTGCGCACAAACATGCATACATACATACAGGTAGAACCGAGAACTTCCCTTTTTCTTTTTGAGGTCGAATAGAAAAATTACACTTATTAATGAATTTGTTTGACTAAATATTTCGATAACAATATGTTTTGTTTATTTAATTTGTTATTAAGGGGAATTTCCCTTTGAATTTAGCATTATTCTTTTACTTAATAGAATCGGTAGAATTTTATGGTCGTTTGTTTTTTTTAATAACTATCGTGAGATATATTAAATTAACTAAAAAATCGCGGGTCACTCACGTGAATATACTGAGAAAATCGAAATCTACTAGTTATGAACCACAGAGGGGTTCTCCCTCATTTAGCTTGAGTTTTTCTCAGTATATTCACGTGAGTAACCCGCGATTTATTTTAGTTCATTACAGTTGTTTGTTTGTATAACTCTACGAGTCAGTAACTTTATCTACATCACACGCACGCGCGATTTTAGTTTATTCATTTCATTGTAATTATAGCAAAAAATTTGTCTTCAGTACACGTTCAGCACTCATATACATCAGTACTCATCAATCAATAGTTTAGTTGATAATATAGTCGACGTGTTAGTTTAGTGTATCACTAAATATCATCTCACCGGACTATCAACCGACTTTTTTCCTAGACTCCAAGTTGTGTGAGAATCATTCATGTTGAATGATTATAGAACATAGAATAGCTATGTGACCATTCTGTTTTACGTCCAGGTCATATCTGGATTGGCTGGGAAGGCTCCCACAAAAACACTGAACGATGGCAACCAAATTCCCATGCTGGCTTTGGGAACGTATGGTTTCGTAAGTATTTACATAACCTAACGTAATCTAAGATAAATATACCTAAATCATGGTTTAATACGTCCGCTTCTTATGCGCGGGTTCGAAACCTACCAACGGCAATGTACCAATGTGTCTTTTCAGAGTTATAATATGTACTTTCCAAGATTATTTAGACACCACTGACACAATGATATAGGGAAACATCGTGAGGAAACCTGGGCTTATAATTTTTAATTATGAGTTTGTAATCGCCAACCCGCATTCAGCAAGCGTGGTGATTAATGCTCTAACCTGCTCCGTGTGAGAAGAGGTTTTCCTCAGCAGTGGCCACTTATAGGCTGTTGAATGATTGAGAGAACACTTGACAAGTCTAAGAACATAACATCACGCCTTTTAGCTCCGAAGGGGTAGGCAAAGGTGCACATTACGGCACTTAATGCCACTGTACAATGTAACACCCACCTTTCACTATTTATGTTATGAGTCCAATGTAATAGGGGGTGAGCCTTTTGCCATATACCGGGCACATTTCCAGACTCCGTGCAACTACTGAGGTTTTTACATACCCCGTAAAACTTTGCCCGACCTGGGAATCGAACCCGAGACCTCTTGCCCGGCAGTTGCACTTGTGACCACTAGGCCAATGAGGAGGTCTTTACCAGTCTCAATTCCTAATATTTTCCAGGATGACATCCCAAGAATGCGTCAAGCAGTCAACTGGGCTATAGAAGCTGGTTACCGCCATATTGACACTGCAGCTCTTTATGAAAATGAAGAAGAGATCGGTAAAGGTATCAGTGATGTGATAAAACATGGACTTGTGAAGAGAGAAGATCTTTTTATTACTACTAAGGTAAGTGATGCTAGAGATAAGGTGGATTGAGTGGGGGATGATGTGAAGGCAAAGGTGATTGTGTGATGTGATGATATCTGATGGGGAGAATGGAAAAAGATCACAAATGACTTGGGATAAGGACATGAATAAATAAAAAGAAACACATAAATAACCTTTCCCCTTGTAGTGTGTTAGGGCTTGTACACAAAACTGTGATGCGACGTCGCATTGCAAAAATGTGCAAGCTCCCTCTACACATTGCAAGAACTTGCGAATTGATTCACATCGCGCATCAAAATCATAACTTCCCACAATCTTCTTTGTTTCTTTTTGTTGTATCTCGTAAGCAATAACAGAAGTGTAACACTTCTTTTTACGATCCATGTCACGACCTAGTTTTCAATTTAAAATACGTTTAGTACGGTTGACGGTCGTCGAAGGAATGGTCACACTGGGAGACGCCTTGTCACACGAAATCGCATCGCAGCAATTCGCATCGTAATTTTTTGCGTTGCGAATTTACATCGCTTGGCATCGCAGTTTTGTGTACGAGCCCTTAAACCAAATATAGCTTAAATAAGATAGAATTTTTACTTTTGTTGTTAAATATCTTAATATACATGAAATGGTATAAGTTTAACTGGAAAGTCGTCTATTTCGACTTCAGATTCGGTAGTATTCAGATTGACCTGAAATGCTATTGGTTGTGACACTGAATGCTGTGTTTTCATTTTCAGTGTCTTTAGGATCTAACAATAACTAGTAGGAAGGAGCCCTAATGGTACTAATGGGAATTTTAAAATAAAAAATCAATGACTATTTACTTTGCTATCGAAACTTCATACATGATGCTTAAAGCCACTTCTCCAACAACTTGTTTTGTTTAAATTAACGTCCTTTTTGTTTTTATGCTTTATGCACATAAAATTAATGTGCATTATATAGGTATAGCTAATACTGCTAGTAGGTTCAGACGCTGGTAGGTCATTCTAGTTCATAATGTCTATCTTTCAATAAATTTCCAACTATATTGTTTCGTGATAAAGTTGAAAATTTAAAAATGAGTTAGATAATTATAACATAACATAACATCACGCCTTTTATCCTCGAAGGGGTTGGTAGAGGTGCACATTACGGCACTTAATGCCACTGTACTATGTAACACTAACTTTTCACTATTTATGTTATGAGTCCATTAATACTTTGCCCGACCCGAGAATCGCCGAGACACCTTGCCCGGCAGTCGCACTTGCGATCACTCGACCATTGAGGCAGTCATAATTATGTACAAGATTATCCTTATTTTAGAGTGAGACCGTCAGAATTCCATTAAAAGGCAATTTATTATTTAAGTATTCTTTATTTTTGATTAAGTAATTGAGTTAATCAAAGCTAGAATTCGTGAATTCCTTGATGAATACATTTGTTATTGTAGTTTGTCATTGAATATATACTTTGTGCATAGGTAATTTTAAAATATTGCAATCGATAAGTCGTGCGATATTTATTAGGTTTGATACTTAGTATTATTTTTGTAAAATCATACATAAATTCTTTACTCTGTATCTGTTTTCGGATCCAAGTTAGATATCTCATAGGAATCACGTCACTGTATTTCTATAGGTCCTGTGATTTTTACAGCTCCTGTAATTTTGTACAGGTCCTGTGATTTTCTACAGGTCCTGTGATTTTCTACAAGTCCTGTGCTTTTCTACTGTAGGTATAGTATCTTGACTTACTGGAGTAACAGTGGCTGTGATTTTGACTATTTTAAAAAGCATGTTGTTAGGTGCACCCTGGTGGTTACCCTGTGAGAAGATGCTCAGCAGTGGGCATTAAAGGCTTTGATGGTGTAAGGTATTTAAAGGTGTCTTTTTCTTTCAGCTGTGGAATGACAAGCACGCTCGTCATCAAGTGGTGCCGGCTCTGCAGGAGTCTCTCTCCAAGCTGGGTCTAGACTACGTAGACCTATATCTTATCCACTCGCCAGAAGCCAGCAACGTAAGTTTGTTTACTCATTTAAAAATGGTCACCATAATACGTAGGTATTGTAAATATTCTCAATGGAGCAGGAAGATTATTATATCAAATAGATCGCAGATAAATTCGATAACAAGTACATTGTTCATTTTGGGACCTGATTGGATAGACCGCGCGATTCGGGTGACGACTTTGCGTATACATATCTTAAATAGGGCTGATGCCGATTCGGATTCGCGGAGAACCTAACGGATTACCGAGGCTCCGGCTCGAAATGCAGCAGTAGGAATGGTGTGATTTTTAGTCAGTAAGAGTCTGATACTCCCTCCCGCTTCACCCAGACGTCGTTTGGTGATTTCCCCCCTTAAAAAGGGTCTTAAGTAATGTGATGTTAGATAATGAATTGTAACTTCAAGTCTCAAGTCAGCATAAATACTTAAAGGTTATTTAAAATGTCATTTTCTTTGCATTGCCCTCCTCTAGGATTTTCTCCTGTGTCGTGGGTGCGTTTACAAATATACAAGTTCATATACATATGACACCCAGACCCGAAACAACAATTTATGGATCACACAAAAGTTGAACCCGCTACACGGTGCACAGTAGCCAGTTGCCCAGCCACCGTGCCAACCCTGCAGTTAATGATAATGATAACACAAATCTTTCAGAAAACATAACATAACATCACGCCTTTTATCCCCGAAGGGGTAGGCAGAGGTGCACATAGAAGTAACACCCACTTTTCACTATTTATGTTATGAGTCCCATGTAATAGGGAGTGAAACAATACTAAATTATATATATTTTTTAAACACAGTTCTAATTTTTCTACAATCCTTCTAGGCTGACGGTTCTCCCGCTAACATTGATTACTTGGAAACATGGAAGGGTATGGAAGAAGCCAAGAAGCTTGGCCTGGCCAGGTCCATTGGAGTGTCCAACTTCAACACAGAACAGATTGACAGGATCATTAAGAACAGCTTGATTGTTCCAGCTGTTAACCAAATTGAGGTATGGTTGTTTTTCTAATATGTTGTAGTGGTTTTTATGGTAGTAAGTAGATATTAGGTTCTTAACTCGTCTAGTACCGGTTTTATAGACACAATTAAAGAACAATAGGTCGCGGTCACCGGTGACCGCTTGGTGTTTGACAGATTAATTTTGAAAAATATAATTGACCAAATAATATACTCTGTTGTAGGTAGGTAGGTACTTGTTTGAGAGAATCTTGGTCTGTTTATCTATTGAAGAAGTGTTATATTTAAGAATTGGTAGGTATTCCACCTTCAGCTGTAATATGTCGATGGCCGTACCAATTCTTTTTGTTTTTTTTTTATGAAGAGGTTCCAGAACTTTTCTTACTGATATTGTGTGACAGACATTAGCTTTATACCTCTATAATTGAGTACGATTGGTATTTATTTTATGAAGTTGTCCTTTGTATTAAAAGATACAGATAGTTTATATCCTTGTTCATGTTTGTTTATTATGTAGTCAATTATATACCTACTAGCACAGCTCCTCCCCTGTTGGTGATAGCATGATAATATGTAGCCTATATGTTGACCGACCTGTAAGTAATATTCATACAGAATTTGCAGTACATCCATGCAGTACTTTTTAAGTTTAGCTCGGATATACATACACACAAACAGACAAGAAATCGATTGCAGATCACGTCTCAAGTACTCTTTCAAAATATTCCTACGATTTTATTATTATGTATGTATAGATTGTTAATAACACACGTTCGTTAAGTAATTAATGGGAAATCCCAATTTTTTCTATCATCTGAAATTGATTGGATATAGAACAAGTTATTCTAGTTACTAAAGATTTTTCGAAAAGATTACAAAACTTGATTTTTATACTTAAAAAAAAGGATAAGAAGTCGTTCAAAACTAGTCAAAGACAATATCGTTGACTTTTTTGCTAGCTTTTGTTTATCTGTTTATTATTTGAAAATTTTTCCTTATCTTTTAAAAAATATTGGGCAACATTTGTGGTTGAGTTGTTTTGAACCTTACGGCCAAAGACATAGGAGTGAAATGTTTTTATTGGTGATAATTTTAAAAATTCCTTAATCATGTTTTGAAGGACACTTGAGGTCATTGGCATCATGTCATGGAACGATGATAGGCGATTGTTTGACCTTCAGTAGGTACATATAAATGTATAGGTATCTACTTGAAGTATTTACATACGTGTCGTATAGGAATCGAATGTGTGTCGTGTTGGCTCGGAGGTTAAGACCATGCATAAGGGTGCGAGTTTAGAAACCTATCAACGACAAGTACCAATGTGACTAGTTCCGAGCTATATATACTTTCTAAGATTATTTAGACACCACTAACAAACGGTGAAGGAAAACATCGTAAAGAAACCTAGACTTATAATAAATTATAAGGTTGAAATCGCGAACCCGCATTGAGGAAGCGTGGTGATTCATGCTCAAATCTTCTCCGTGTGAGAAGAGGCTTTGCTTAGCAATGGCTACTTATAGGCTGTTGACTAAACATGGAATAGCTGCCTAGTATGTGAGTGGAATTGTTTACCCATAATAAGTAAAATAAGTCTAGAATACGAATGTACAAATGCTTTGTTTCATCGATACATGTAAAACATAAACAGGTTCCTTCCTAAAGTAGGTATTATATGGTAATGCACGCAAACCTTCTATTATCTGTGGCGACACATGACATGCGAATAAACATGGATGGAAAATCCTAACGAACAACTGTTGGGCAGAAACCTCGCCAGGCACAAACACCTTACCTGGGTTACTCTTGAATCCAATTCCGATCGATCGACATTGGTATTGTAAAATTTCGTACTCTCGAGTTGCAATACTAGCGCCCATTGCATCCGTTTTGGGTGGATATTTAAGGAACTAAATGGTATTGAGTTTGGCTTTATATTACGTACTCTGAATGCTATTTTAATAGCTACGATAGGAGTTGTATAGTTTTGACATTGAATTACTATGGAGATTTTACTGGATTGAAATTGCATTGACATTGAGATTGGTTTCAAGAGTAAGCACCCTGGTCGGAGATTCCTCCTATTCCGATCTTCTCCCTTCGTTACCAGAAAAGTGACTATAATTTTGGACAGAATATAATTCTGTCTCTGATATCGAAATCAATATATCGTCGAAAGTATTTGTTTCTGTAAGAAAATAAAAAAATACGTGTATATAGTTTAAAAATAATCTACTAAACGGATATTAAAATAAAAATTAGCCATACACCCTATTGTAATAGAGAAGTCTACATTCCCAAATTTACAATAAGAGACGAACATATTTAAATTAAATACAACTCCTTTAATATTTAACAGTTCACCTTTAATACGATCCGGAAATTCCATTACAATATAAATTTTACATAATTTTCCACTTGCAGGTCCATCCTTCAAATTCTCAAGAAGAAGCAGTAAAGGACTGCTTTGAGCGCAACATTGCAGTTATGGCATACAGTCCTCTCGGTTTCTTCGTCTCTAGAGGACAAAATGGACGACCAGGCAAGGATGACCCCAAGATTCTAAACATCGCTAGGAAATACAACAAGACTGTTACACAAATCGTTCTGCGGTACTTGGTGAGTAAAATAACAGTTATAGGGTTCATTTGGATTTGGTTATGTCTCAAAGTTGCAATCAGCCACCAAGGAATGAGAAGCAGTACCTATTTGTCTTAGTCACCTGGTACTCGTTAGTTGAGAATTTTGGCAACACCTCTATTAACTCGTCGAGTACCGGTTTTATAGACACAATTAAAGAACAATAGGTCGCGGTCACCGGTGACCGCTTGGTGTTTGACAGTTTAAAAGAGACCTTGTTCAGAAATGGACGCATTCTATTTCTAGCTGGTTATAACCATGAAGATTTTTGGGAGTAACGAGGTTACTGTAAGTACACTCGTTGGCCGAGTGATCGCAAGTACGACTGCAGGGTTCGATTCCCGGGTCGAGCAAAGTATTACTGGGTTTTTAAACATTTTCTCAGTCGTAACACGGAGCAATAGGCTTACCCCCTATTACATGGGACTCATAACAGAAATAGTGAAAAGTGTTACATTGTACAGTGGCATTAAGTACCGTAATGTGCACCTCTGCGTACCACTTCGGGGCTAGAAGGCGTGATATTATGTGATGTGGTAAAGTAAACTCATTATCAATGTGACAAAAAACGATAATAAAACTAAACATTCCGAAAATGATCACAACATTAGCCGTCCGTATATCGGAGTTTGACGATAGCACCAGAGAAAACGAAGCAGTATTTGACCTATTTATTTATTCCATCTTCCAGCTGGAGAGAGACCTCATCGTTCTCCCCAAGTCCGCCAAGAGGCACCGCATTGAAGAGAACATCAACGTCTTCGATTTCCACCTGACTCCTGAGGAGATGGCAGTGATGAAGACCTTCAATTCCAACACCAGTATTTTTGACTAGATCACTTAATATTTATGGATGTTTCATCTATCGTTTAAGACACCATTACGTATAGTGTTTTTTTTTATAAAAAATCGTGTTCTTTGTTCCAACAGTTTATTTGTTGTCAGTTTGTAGACTCAATATCTGTCTAGATCTAGTATGGAAGCTTTTGTAAGGCAAATAAAATTGTATTTTTAGATACATGTGTTTTGATTTAATGGGGGAAAGTGACAGTCCCAGATGGAGGATGTCCATCACTTGTTGGTGAAATGCGTCAGGACCCGAGCTGCTAGAGAGGTGCTGATGAATATACCTCTAAAATTAATTTGATGGGTGTTGGTTTTGTTCAAAGTATATTATCAGAGCCTGTTTCAAATGCAGCTATTTTACTTTACAAAATAGTATATAAAGTTTTTAAGTCGGAATAGCGTTTAAATCCTGTATTAGTTTATGATGGGGCTGGCGTGGCATATTGTGACTAAAAGGTTCTTTGTTTGGGTGTTTATCTGTCAATCACGCTGAAACTACTAACCGGATTTTGATAAAATTTGGCATACACGCAGCGTATGGGCTGATTTAGTTGATTTTTTTCAAGGGGTGAAATCGGGATGACTTTTCCCGCCTGGACTAGGCAGGATGTTTCAGTCTTACTGACTAAAAATTACCTCATTTCTACTCCTGCACTTCGAACCGGAGCCCCGGTGACCTTTTAGGTGATAGGATAATTTTTATCTCGATTAAATGCTCTCATGGGATAAAACAGGAACCATATTCTACGCGGACGAAGTCATGGGCAACAGCTAGTACCTACAATTTATAATAATAAGTAAGTTAGGAAAAAAGAAAAACTATTCCTTATTTTTTTCGAGAAATTTTATTAAAAATAATAATTAAAATACCACAGTTTATTTTTTTGCAATTTCATTGCTAGCATCTTTCGTACGATAATAATATTTTGTGATATATCAATAACAGTAAAAGCATTGTTTGTTTATTTATATTAATTTATAATAATCTCATTTCATTAATATTCGCTAATACTTATACAGCTCGTAGCTTTTAATACATGTATGTGATACCTATTTAATCCAAAAGTTTCGCCATGACGTAAATTTTTCCATTGTGTTTGAAGCATTAATTTTGTGTGCAAAAAAGTAATTTATATGAATTGCAACTTAATAACATAATAATAGGATCTAATTTATATAAAAATACGAATTAATCTACACTTAAATATACCCTTTTAGTTCTAAGATTATAAGTTGTGTCGCACTGAGGTGAAATGTAGCATGACTTTGCCGTAAGACACCGCCTTTATGAGTGTGTGTACAATTTAGGCCATACCAGTTATAGTACGGAAACTAATTTGAAGGGCAGAATAGATAAATGTGTTGATACATTATGCCACCACCCTTGTTCTTTCCATGGGTGTCGTAAGAGCCGACTAAGGGATCGTACATTCGACAGAGACCAGGCAACAGTGCTCTTGCCTTCCCTAGATATTCTAGTAGGTAGCACACTCACTCATAAATAGTAGATAGTTCATGACAGTAAAGAAATAATAATTCGTAAAATAAAAACAGAAGCACGCTAGATACCTACTAATATCACTTTTGTATCAAAAACATCACACAGTAAAGGAAATAAACAAAAATAGTATTTCAAAACACCCTGTACACAACTCTAGTCACAGATTAAAAAAACTTAATTTCAATGGTGTCAGTTTGACAATTGCGTATCCGTCATTTTGACAATTCTAGTGATGTGACGCTGTCAACCTGACGCTTAAATCGATTCCGTATCAATCGATTGAAAGTTGTCTGAAGGATCCATCGATGCCGAATAGTTCATCGTAGTTGGTGGGTCGGCCTGGCCGGAGGGACTCGTTGGCGATGATGCTGTCCTGGCGCTTGAACCAGTCACGGTATTCTTGGAGTTTTAGCTTCCATTGTTCTGTAGTAGATAAAAGGAGAAAATATTTTAGTATATCATAATAAACTTTTTTTTATGGCATAAGCCGGTAAACGAGCAGACGGATCACCTGATGGTAAGCAATCGGCGTCGCCCATGGACACCTGGAACACCAGAGGCGTTACAAGTGCATCACCGGCTTTTTGGGGATTAGGAGTTTGAGGATCGTTGGGGATTCAGGGAAAATCGAAATGCACTACCATTTGCTATACGTGCACGTAGTGGCATGTATAGTATGTCTGCTCGTTTGCCTCCTATTCCGTAAAAAAAATGTAGTGCTTAAAATATAATTGATGTCCATCTATCAAATTCTTTAGATAATTTCCCAGTTATATGAAGTTTGAAAGTCATATTTGCAAATCATCATGGAAGTTTAAAGTTTTTTTGAAGCCTAGACGCTACCTCTGGTAAATGCTCAACCTAACCCAGCTCAACCGATTCATGGTAGATGTCCCAACCACACGCACGAAGCTTTTCGCATCAAGCTTCCTTGTGCGTACTGCTCAGGAGTGTAATTCTTTGCCAGAGTCTATATTTCTTCAAAAGAGTCAAGACACCCAGTGTTCAAGGCCCGAGTGAATAGGTTGCTTATGAGACGACGTGCTCTATCATAGACCGCATCATCGCTTACCACTAGTCGAGATAGTGGTCAAACGTCAGTCCATTGGATATAAAAAAACCTTATTTTCGATATTTATTAGCTTACCTTGTAATGTCGCCATGCTGCCACACTGTCCACCGTACTCAGTGGGCAACATCTCCTGAGGTATGTACTTGTAAAGGTCCTTCACCTCTCTGTGGATGTAGATCTGGAAAAATTACGCAAAGCAATTAGTTTGTGCTGTAAAAAGTAAAATGAATAAGTTATTTCATCAAGTCAAAGTCAAAGCATTTTATTTTAATTTAACCATAATTTGGTACTTTTAAAACGTCAATAAATACAAAATAAATTATATTCTATTCGATTCGATTTTATTTTGGTAGTCTATCGATTTTATTACGCCCTTATCTTTGGCTCAAGCACATCCACCTTTAAAAATAGACTAAGTAGATATATTACTAAAAAAATACTAATTTGTCTTTTTTCAGATATTTATTTTCTCAATGATGTAAAAGTATCATATAGTTATAATGTTATAAAGTGCTTCTTACCCGTTTCCTAATTTTCTCCTTGAGGAAAGGTTTGACGAAGTTGACAAATCGCTCGACCAGGGGCGACGTGTTTATGATGTGGACTTCTTTTAGTTTGATTGGATATGCTTCCTGTAAAATGAAATATTGCTCTTTAGTCAAATTAAAGTAAAGTAATCTTTCGTTGGGAAAGTGATTATATTCCAAAAGTCGGCCATCGAGGCTCTTCATGTTTTATTTATCAAAAATCATTGATTAGGATTTTCGGTTACGAAACATATTTGCACTGTGGCTACCTATGGGAAACAATCGAAGATACCAGTGAGTGAGTTTTACAACTTCTTTGCTGTATTATGATTGCTCTGATCAACGCTACAGATTATTATTTTGTTCTTTAAGAAAAACGTTGCCCCACACTAGGATTTTCTCCTATATCGTGGGTGCGTTTACAAACATACAAGTTCACATACACATGAGACCCGGACCCGGAACAACAATTTGTGGATCACACAAAGAGTTGCTCCGTGCGGGAATCAAACACGTTGCATGGCAGCCAGTTGCCCAGCAAATTTTTAAAATACAAGGAATTTCAGCTGGCACTTTAAAATCAAACTACTATAGTAACCTGAACACAGATCATGAACTTCTTGATAGTGGCAGCTGATAGTTTAGCCAGCATACTGGCTCCCAGCACAGCAGCGTCCAACACATAGATATCTCCAGCTACACCTTCCTTCTCTTCTGTCAGTCGCACATCTCCTATCATGAGAGCCAGCTTCAGAGTGTCTGTGATCTGCTGCGAATTTAGGTCGGGGTGGATACCTTGAAGAAGAATAGTAAATTCATTGGTAAATGCAGTTTTGATAAACTTTTTTGAAGAACTAAAAAGTATGAAATCTTTATTAGTTTTGGGTAAGCATCATTGTTATAAGATATTAAATTACCATCTCAAACACTTTTTTTTTGATGACGGGGGGAAACCTTCAATATGCGCCTAGCTTTTTGGGGAGAAAGACCAGGGAGTATGGGTTCGTTCCTCACTAAAACCACCCCGGTGGCCACCCTCAGCACCTGTAAGGGTCCTCTGAAGAGACCTGCTCCGGAGCCCCCACGGTGCAACGCCTATTAAAGCACATTCCCTGGGGAGAGCTGCGTGTCCCTTGCTCACTATCTCATACACTGTTCTGTTATTTGATTATTTTTAGTTGGTAGTGAATTAGGTAAACTTAAAGGTTTTCTTGACTTTGTCTGTGACATGGAAATCATGGCAAATTCCTCTTTAAGTACTTGCATTTGAGGTTGATAACTCTGTACTAACACTATCACGAGTTGTTGACGATAAACCTTCTTTTACCTTCCCAAATTAAACAAGCAACACTCACCTCTGCAAATAGTAACTCTTCTGCCATTTGGTGTGATGCCTGGCAGTGGAGGTCCTTGTCTGAAAGGAAACACGACAACGACAATGAATTGATTATGTATTAAATATACAATGACGTGACAATGAATCAATTATGTATTATACATAACATAGAACGGAACTAAAGAGGATGATCCTTGAAAATATCTCTTTGTAGAGCTATCAGACAGAGAATTGCAAAAGAAAATTATTTGGCTCAGTTGCTGTTAGGCCAAAAAGATAAGTCACAGTTAACACTCTCCTCAGAAACTTTATATACACAATTATATAAAATACATAAACTCATTATATATATTTACATATTATATTTATGTTTCATATTAGTATGTAGTATTGGTATGTAATTTATGTACTGGGATACCTTTGTATGTATATACGTTCATTTATCACCCTCGTTTTTTTTTCAATAGATGCAAACTTCTTTTTTATCCTACTGTAACACTTCTCTGCATCAGTGGTTGGCTGGTCATGCTTCTCTGTGGTTGGCTGGTAGAGAATGCCGTCCGGCATTAAGCCGGCCATTGTATACACATTTGTACGTAAAGTGTTAAAATTAAATAATAAATATCTTACATTTTGTTAGTCATAATGTCGTTAAGCTCAGGTCTGGTGGCGTCTCGCTTCGTGAAGAACTCTGGGCAGGCGGCCCTCATCGTGAAGTACATGTCCAGCTTCCTCTTACATTTCTCTAGTGAGAAGCTACTGCCTCTTAGGAAGGTCATTATGGGACCCGTTTCTGTAAAAATAATATTAATACTTTTAGATTCCAGTTTTTTGTCGGAAATTCAATAACAGAAGAGTACAGAATTTAGAAAGTGGTCGATGTTAGTTCATTACTGGTAAGGTTGGTGAGGGACTGGGCTTCCAGCTGATACACAACATGTCACGGGTTGGATTCCCGCGCGGACAGTTCTTGGTGTGAATTACAAAACGGTCAAATATTTCGCGAAAAGACAATTGCGAAATGAAATTATACAACGATGGCCCAGATCATAGCATAATGATGTTATAACTACAATAATTTGATGCCACCTGCCGGACAAGGGGTCTCGGGTTCGATTCCCGGGTCCGGCAAAGTATTACTGGGTTTTTAAGAAAAATTTCAGTAGTAGCGCGGGGTCTGGCATTGAGCCCGTTATATGGCAGTAGGCTCATCCCCTATTACATAAGACTTCTAACATAAATAGTGAAAAGTGGGTGTTTCATTGTACAGTAGCATTAAGTGCCGTAATGTGTACCTCTGCTTACCCCTTAGGGGGTAAAAGGCGTGATGTTATGTTTAAAGCCAACCAGATCGTCCAGATCTTGTGAAAATAGAAAAGAACAGACTTAAACTCTATATACTATATTGTATATTGTAAATTGTATTTTGTAAATTATTGTATATTGTAAATTAAATTCTAAATATAGAGGTATACTATATTGTAAAGAATGTTACACACGTTAGGACCGCATTCATTAAAAAAATCTTTATTATTAGTATCCATAAAAGAAGACTTACCCCAATCATCAGGCAAATGTGGCTGCTTCTTCAACCACTCCCTGATGGCTGCCAGGTCTCTGTCACGAGTCGTCACATCTTCCTTCAGCTCCACTCTTATGCTCTTCCACAGTTCACCGGCAGGCTGAACCAGCAGCTCTTGTTTCAGCTTCATTTTTTATCTGAAATTGAGGAAATGATTTTGATTTTGAGTTCATTCATTTTGTAAGAAGATACTACAGTTAGAAAAGAAAGAAAGAAAGGAAAAAGTCTTTATTTCACGCTAAAAAACAAGTGACATGTACAGATGTGTTATTCTATTAGTAGGTAGGATACATGTTCATGTCCCGCATTGAGCAAGCGCGGAGATTAATGCTCAAACCTTCTCCGTGTGAGAAGAGGCTTTGCTCAGCAGTGGGCATTTATAGGCTGTTGATGATAATGAAGCGGAGTTATTGCTCAATTTATGTAAATAATGTAATATACAGGATATACCAGTCCATTATGTTCATAGATTTTAAGATTTAAAATAAAATTGCATGCCATATGGTAGATTGTACCAGGAACGATATACCTTATATTATGTACATAAATACATTCAATGCAAATAAATTATTCTATTCTATTCTATTCTATTCTATACTACCAGGAATATACAGGAGGTACTGAGTACATAATAAAGATACTATGCCTGTATCTACCAATAAAAAAACCCTAGTTATAAATGAAAATGTTTGTCTGTTCGTTTGTCTGTAACTCCTTCACGTCCAAACTGCTGAAGGGATAAGGATGAAATTTGGAACCGAGGTAGATTATGGCCCGGTAACATCTGGGCTACTTTCATCCTACGGGAATGTGAGCGAAACCGCTGCCAGGAGCTAGTTTTATAACAAAACCAAAATAGTAAAACCCAAATGACTGGGTCGGGCAAAGTATTACTGGGTTTTTAAATATTCTCAGCAGTACCACGGAGTCTGGAATTGTGCCCGGTATATGACAATAGGCTCATCCCCTATTACATGGGAGTCATAACATAAATAGTGAAAAGTGGGTGTTACATTGTACAGTGATAGAATGTGCACCTCTGCCTACCTCTTCGGGGATAAAAGGCGTGATGTTATGTAATGTTAAAACCCAAATGAACACACAGATACCACAGGGCCAAACTACATCTTATTAATTATACAATGAATACCAACAAAGACGAGACGACTACCACTACTACAACTTAATGACGTAAGTTTACTACAAACATAAATTAACATAAAATTACATTACGACATTATTCCTAATTAGCACCGGAATACAAAGAACAAGTATCCTTCCTCAATAACTTTAAAAATTGGCAATCGATCGTAAACTACTCAATGCGCATGCGCCGGTGTCAATTCATTGCCCAATAGCATCGCGTGATTTAGGGGTACACACATCGCGAAAACCAGTTAATCGTGGTCTTGCTTTGTATGATCTCGTGGCACATTCAACGGTCAATTTATACTGGTTTTGTATAGAATGATGAGAGTCATGACTATGTCTAAGGTCAAGGCAATGTTTGTGGACCATCACTTGCTAATACATGTGTTGTAACCCGTCTGTCTGTCTGTTGCAATTTTATAAGAAGTGCGCGTGCGACTTATTTGTTAGTAAAAAGTAAAGTAAGTACTATCGGATGAAGGTCTTGTTAAGAAACATTTTCGTTGATTGTACTTTTGTTATTTGTTCCCAAGTGTGACTGCCGGGCAAGGGGTCTCGGGTTCAATTCCCTGGTCGGGCAAAGTACTACTGAGTTTTTAAAATTCTCAGTAGTAGCACGGAGTCTGGAGTTGTGCCCGGTATATGGCAATAGGCTCACCCCCTATTACATGGGACTCATGATTTAAATATAAGATAGGAATAAGAAAAGTGTTAATGGACACATTCTTAGTTATACTTTCTTAGCAAATTAAGACAAAATTTAATTACTTATTAGCATTAAAGCTAGATAGTAATTTTTTATGATGTTACCGTATGAGGTCACATCATATAAACAAAAAACAAAAAATGATTTAAATAGTGAAAAGTGGGTGTTACATTGTAAAGTGGCATTAAGTGCCGTAATGTACACCTTTGCCTACCCCTTCGGGGATAAAAAGCGTGAAGTTATGTTATATTATGTACTTTTGTTATGTTTTTTGTGGTAATAATCATTAATTTACTAGGTACTCCCCCCCTGGGTGAGGCGAGAGGGAGTATCAGATTCTTACTGACTAAAAATCACCCCGTTCCTATGAAACTTGTACTTTTATTGAATTTTTTAGGGGGCAACATAATCTAAGGGCAAATCTATCAATTATTTCCTGCACCTCTATTTAGAAATCTAAGCAAACCAAATTTCTCCACTAATAACCTACTACATATCAAAAAAACATATTACATCATAAAACAAAAATACTGATTTGCACACAAATTGTTCAATATTACAACGGAATTTCCAAAATAGGTTAGGTCAGATTTACTTTTAGTTAAAAGATAGTCATTCAGTAAAACAGTTAAGCTTTAAAGATCTAATAGTATAGTATAATTGACTTATTTGATGAGCAAATTTAGTGTGCAATTCAGTGTTATTGGTGGTAATTTTGAATATTTTAATTGAAAAAAGGGAATTTACAGTTAAAGTATTAAATACCACTCATTATCTAATTACTAATCCCGCCTTAGGTGCGGCGAGAGGTAGTCTCAGACTGTTACTGATTAAAAATCACCTCATTTGAACCAAAACTCCAGAAACCCTTTCACTTATACGCAATCCCGATATCACTTTTGTTGATTAGATAGAAACGTCAGTGTTTTGTTTTTAGTCTAAGGCTGGAATACTGAAACGTTACTAAATTTTAAGAAGTGTTTGAATATCATGCTGTCTCTGTCATTTTACAAATAATTTGTAAAGACAGAACTATAGTTAAGCGCGACTTAAAATTGAGTAACGTTTCAGTATTCGGGCATAAATATCATATTTTTTAACCGACTTCAAAAAAAGGATGTTCTCAGTTGGACCTGCATGTATACATGTATGTTTGTGTGCGAATATCTTGCGACTTGTTGAACCGATTTTGATGCAGTTTTCTGTAAAATGATTGTAAAAAACTTAGGAGAAGGTTTTAGTATATATATTAATTAAACTGTCAAACACCAAGCGGTCACCGGTGACCGCGACCTATTGTTCTTTAATTATGTCTATAAAATCGGTACTCGACGAGTTAAAAGACTGCAAAAACGAGGGGTATTGATGAAGTCTCTTTTTTTAACCCGTCGAGCGTCCGAGTTCCTTATGATCCAACGGGTGCACACGTGACATTTGGAGAAAGAAAGAAAGAAAGAAAATGCATTTATTTGGCCATTGGCACACGAAAACAAGGATCATTACAATAGAAATAAAAAATACAGTGGAAATAAAAACAAAACTTGAATAATAGATTTTATAAAACAGAAAGCAGCATGGAGAATTTTTTCTTATGATCCACCGGGTGCTCATAAGGACGCTCGAGGGGTTAAACGTAGTTCATGAAACAATTATTTAAATTAGATTGTTCTACCAGGGCCAAGCAAGATGTCTATAGTTTGATTTTAATGCTAACTAAAGTATTAGATACAGGATACGTCCAATTTTTTTTAATGAAAGCATAGAAAAGTAGCTTGTTATCAATGGCTTATTGTCATTTTTATGCTGACATATAACTTACGTTTCGTTTGCCACAGAAGAAAAAAAAACTTACGTCACCGTTAACATTTTAATTGCACCATTTACGTCTTTATAATCATCATCATTAGGTATAGAATAGCGTAAAAACAATAGCTTTAGCTATTATTTCTATTAACAATCAAAGTAGTTGTGTAATAAACTGTATTGTAGTTATTATATTATCTTCAATTCATGTGATCGCGTCTTTAATGACACCTATCATTATGTCTATAAGAAGAATGGAAAATTTGTAATAATTATATAACCAATGGGTTAATCCCTAAAAGCCTCGACATCCATCTCAGGAGGCTGGCGTTAGGTGGATGGATCAAGGGCCTGATACAGAAGGCAGTTCTCCTAGAAACGGCACGTATCGTGAGGAGGTTTCTGTCTCTGGAGCCCTTACCACCGGTAGCTTGGACCATGCTCCCGCTACTGGTCTTTGTAAGTAGTATTTAAAAATGTAATTTATAGAGAATTTTAAATAATAATTAAATAAAAATAATATAACTACATATATAAGAGACGTGGTATAAATAACTAAACGGACAGAATAACAGAATCATTACAAGCAATCAAGAAAATTATATATTTCTTGCTAAGAGTTTATCTTCAAATTGAATAATCTAATTTAGACTCTAGTCCGAGTCCCACTTTTCACTATTTATGTTATAAGTCTAGACTCTATAGAGTTTGGGCTCGCTGCCATTGCAGCGGTAAGTCCCCTCTTTGAGGAGTGGCTTGAGAGACGCTACGGCGTCCTCACCTACCGCCTGACGCAGGTCCTCACCGGACATGGAAGTTTCGGGAGGTACCTGTGTCTGATGGGGCGGGAGGAAACGCCCGGGTGTCATCACTGCGAGGACCACCCTGAGGACATGGTGGAACACACTGTTGCGGAATGCCCTGCGTGGGCTGAGCACCGCCGTGCCCTCAGGGAAGTGATCGGCGATGGAGACCTCTCGCGTCCGGGCCTAGTGCAGGCCATGATGCGGAGCGAGGGGGACTGGGATGCCGTCTCCTCCTTTTGCGAAGCAGTCATGCTGGCTAAGGAGGAGGCGGGACGCGTGAGGCAGCGAAGCGCTGCCTCCTCGCAACCCAGCCATCGCGAAGGACACACCGGGCGTCGGGGATCGCGGGACGATCTCCGGCCACCGTAAGCGCGGGCCTGCGGACGGCGAGCATGGGTGGCTCCCCGTCCGACCAGAAACAGACCCGAGCGTACGGCGCGTCGCGTTCCGCGCGCGCCTCAAAGAGCCATCAGACCACCACAGATGGGGCCCAATAGGGCCGATGCCGATTCGGAGTCGCGGAGAACCTAACGGGTAACCGGGGCTCCGGCTCGACGTGCAGGAGAAGGAACGGGGTGGTTTTTAGTCAGTAAGAGTCTGACACTCCCTTCCGCCTCACCCAGGCGGGAGCAGTCATTCGATGATTTTCCCCCCACTCTATAGAGT